TTAATTACTGCAGCAAAATGACAATGAATACTAAATCAAACACCAATATCACGCCATTTGCCGAATGAGGTCATTGATCTCAACTCCTCTGTTCCCAGCCTCCCCACCCTTGTTGAACCAACCTGCCTTGCTAAACTTGCCCCTGGGGGCTGCAAGGCGGAAAGGCCAAAGAAAGCCGGTCACTTGCAGGAAGTGCGGCCCCACTGTAGCGATCTCGTGAATCAAATCCTCGATACAGATAATGCCCGTGCTACCCAGGGCCTGCAAGGAGCGAAGCAATGAGCAAGGGGCGTGAGTGAGGCAAAGCAGCAGAGAGGGAGTGTGAGAAAATGAAAGCGGCAAAATGAAGCACCAGCACAGGGTTTAAAGCCCACCTGTTCAACAATAGCGTTGTCAGTGAGGGGCACTCGCCGCCATCCCTTCGCCTCCTCCTCTGGATTTACTGGCCCCGTCCATCCCACCATCGCCTCTGGCTTCTTGGCTACAACCGTCATTGCCCCACTCCCCCCTGCCCCTTGTGCAGCCCCCCCATCCCTTGCTTTGCCCTCTTTGGTCTCTCCCTCCCCTCCCTCCTCCCCCTCGTCTTCCTCCTCACCCTCCTCCTCGTCCCCTTCCCCTGCATCCTCCCCCTCCCCGGCCTCCTCCCCATCCTCCCCATCCTCCCCATCCTCCCCCTCCTCCTGCTGCCGTATGCGCGCCACGCCTCGTTTCATTATGAGGGCGCGCACGGATGACAGGTCGGGGAACCTGGGGGGAGGGGGGCGTGCGTGGGGAGGGATGGTGGGGGAATATACCGGAAGGAGGGTAAGGGGGGAGCGGGAGGCAGGGGAAGTGCGCCACGCCTCGTTTCATTATGAGCGCACGCACTGATGACAGGCCGGGGAACCTGGAGGCGGGGAGGGGGGGTGTGGGGGGTTGATGGGGGAACTAGGGTGAGGGGAAGAGCGAGGGAGTGAGTGCAGGAGGGGACAGGAGAGAGAAAAAAAATATGGTCGGGAGTGGGTATGAGGCGTGCAAAAATTGCGGTTGGTACATGGAAGAGAGAGAGAGAGAAAAGGGAGGCAGGGAGGGAGGGAGAAAGGACGGGGAGAGATAGGGAGTGAGTGAGTGAGTGAGTGAGTGGGGGAGGGAGGGAGAGAGGGAGGGAGGGAGGGAGGGAAGGAGGGGGAGAGGAATAGAGAGAGAGAGGCAGAGAGAGGGGGAGGAGATAGGCGGAGAGAGGGAGAGAGGCGGAGAGAGGGAGAGAGGCGGAGAGAGAGGGAGGAGAGAGGCGGAGAGAGGAAGAGAGCACGCACCCAAAGGTGACGTATGGCTCGACAAGTTGCAGCATTTGTGCCGTGCGGTCCGTGGCTCGCAGGAAGACTCCCGAGTTGAGCTGCAGGGAGGGAGGTATGGGGACGAGGAGGGGGGAGGGTAAGAGATGGCGCAACTGAAAGAGAGCATTTGCGTGATGCGGTCTGTGGCTCGCAGGAGGACGCCCGAGTTGAGCTGCAAACAGACGCGAGTGAGGGGGTTAGGGAGGTGTGCAGGGGGAGAGGTGCGCGGATAAGGAGGAACGAAAGTGAAGGAGGGGGGGGAGAAGGAGTGGACAGCAATTAGGGCGCGTGTGCAGGGGTATGCCATGGGCACTCAACAGCCAATGCGAGGGTCCAGTTATCATTAGCGGCGGCGGCGGCGACAGCAGCAGCGGCAGCAGCAGCAGCAGCGGCGGCGGCGGCAGCAGCAGCAGCAGCAGTGTGGTTACCTCTGTAAGTCGCAGCATCTTGAGTATATTCCGCGATTGCTTCGTCATTTCATGCTGCGCCCTGCACACACGTGGAGGTGATTGGGTGAACAGGGAGGCAAACAGATACAACTGGGAATACTTGGGTTAGATAATAAAGAATGAAAATGTGATGTTTAACATGCAATGGCCATGTTGACGCGACAATGGCGTATATGTGTGACAATGCGCTGTGTGATTATGCACTGCAGGCCTCACTCATCCCCACCCTCTCCCATTCACTCACCCTCTCGCCACTATGTGATTCACCCTCTTCTCTCCCCCATCCCTCACCTCTCCCCTCACCCCCTTCCCCCCCCTCATCCTCCCCCACTCACCCGCGGATCCGCACGGCAAACAGCAGCTTTAGGTTCGTGCCCGCCAAAATGCCCCCCTTGTCCTCCCCCTTCCCCGCGTTTATCCGCTCCGCCGCTTTCTGCGCCGCCTTGAGCTTCCGCCGCGCCAGCCTCCGCTGCGCAGCGGTCCCCCCGCCCGCCACCACCGGCTTCAGCTGCACCCGCCGCCCCACCACCCGGTCCGCGCGCACGCGCTTAGCATCGCGCTCCTGTTGCGCGGAAAGGGGAAGGCGGGCGGGGGAAGACGGGCGGGGGAAGGCGGACAGGGGAAGGCGGGCAAGGGAAACAGGACGGGGAAAGGCGGGCGAAGGTTTCGGGAGGGGGAACCGGGCGGGGGAAAGAAGCGCAGAAAACGGAAAACGAAAAATCAGGAGCTTTGCTAAATTGCCTAACTCTTAAACCCCTTGGTCCGCTTTCACGACGCCACCCGCCGCCCCGTCCCGGTTTTGTTGGAAGGGGAACGGATGCGAGAGAGGAGGAGGAAAGGTGGTGGAAACCCAGACCGAAACCCGAAACCTCAAAGACTTGAACCCCTGAGATTCGAGCGAGGGACCGACACACATGCAGAACCCAGAAATCCTCACCAGCCTCTACCGACTGCTGGCGCGTAAAACCCGAAATCTGCAGCCCTGAACCCTGACCTCCGACGCTCTCTCTGCTGAGTCTTACCACCTCCGTCTCCCCCCTCCCCCTCTTCTCCCCCCAGTTTTTCCCCCTTCCTTCCCCACGCTCCGTAACCATAACACAATCAGCCCGTCAATCCAACCAATAGCAGCGAATGGCAAGCCGGCGCGCGCACAATTCCTTTATTCTGCCCGCGTGAGTTGCTGCACCAGTGGGTGTCGCTGGCCCGAAAATCTCTGGTCTACTAGCCGAATATCAACACTTAATAAATATCAAAAGGCGGCAGAAACGCTTGCATCGAAAATCTCCGACGTGACGAGAGAAACACCCCCCGCGCGCACGCACCCTCCGGCGGAACGCGAGCACGAAGTCCTCGGGGCGCTTGAAGCGCTTCTCCGCCTTCCCGCGCTTCCCGCGGTGCGCGTGCTTCTGCAGGAACTGCTCCCGCTTTTCCGCCGCGAATTGCTCGTCCTTCTTCCGCTTCTTCAGCACCGTCTCCGGCACCGTCGGCAGCACGCGCGGCGGCTGCAGCTCCTCCGCGCTCATCGTGCCTGGTGGCGGACTGGGCGGAGAATCGGCGGAAGACTGGCGGCAAACTGGCGGCTGGCGAAAGAAACCAGCGGAAGAATAGCGGCAGAGTGGCAGAAGAAGGGCACGAGATAACAGGGCGAACAACGGGCTACGGAATAGAAAGGAGCGGAATGCCAAGGATCGAGAGAAAGGAATAGAGCAAAAGCGAGTGGGTGGGGTTTCTGAGGTTCGATATGTGCCAGTCTCTTTGTTGTGAAAGTAAATCCTGTACACTGCGCAGCAAATCGTCCATGCTATCTAGAAATTTCAGCACGTTTCTTGCTGTAATAACGAATCATTTAGTTAACAAAAAGCTTTGCAATCGCATCATTACACTACACAGCAAAATTCCACAATAGAGAAATATCATTCTTGAACTTTGTTGCCTATGACACAACCCTATGTAATCCCTACCATACACACCTAAAACCCATAATGCATATAATCGGCTTCCGCCAACCAATGATTGGAGGACTCTTAGAAGAATCACCTGCCACACCAATTTCCAGCAGCTTTACAGTGGAATTAACAGCAGCAGCAGCAGCAGCAGCAGCAGCTGCTGGTGCATGTGCCCTCCCTGAATCCTCCTCCTTGTGCATAGTATATCGCCCTCCAAGCCTTCTTCCCCACCCCTCACCCCTGCAAGGTCGAGATTCTCTTACTTCCAACACCCCCCATCACACAATCTCCAGCAGTTGGAGAATCCCAGTGGAGTTCCCATCGCTGCATCCCCCTTCCTCCGTGTCGGCGCCCCTCACCACTGCGCTCCCACCTCTGCATCCCCCCCTCTCCTTCCAGCAGTTTGCGCCTCTCACAACATTCGCAGGCAGCCCTCCGGCCTCCCTCTCACCTGTCCTCCCCATCTCTCCCTACACTTTTCAGACCATTTCCAGAAGCTTGATGTTGCCCGTTGAGATGGCAGCAACGAGCGTTTGGGAGCCCCCCCGCCAGCACACGCTCGACACAAACTGCCCCGCATCCTCCTCCGTGTCGACGCCCCTCACACCCTTCCCATCGAAGCACCCCTTCCCTTCCTCCCTGTTAGTGTCTCTTACACCATCTCAAGCAGTTTGATGTTGCCGGTTGAATTCGCAGCAACGAGTGTCTGCGAGTCCCCCCGCCAGCACACGCTTGACACAAACTGCCCCGCATCCTCCTCCGTGTCCGCGCCTGTCACACCCCTCCCATCAGGGCACCCCCTCCTTCCTCCCTGTCAGCGTCGCTCACACCATCTCCAGCAATTTGATATTTCCAGTTGAATTCGCAGCAACGAGCGTTTGAGAGTCCCCCCGCCAGCACACGCTCGACACAAACTGCCCCGCATCCTCCTCCGTGTCCGCGCCTGTCACCGGATCAACCCCCCCAAAGCGATGTGCTGCTATGGGCATTGGCAGCGACTTGTGGAAGGCAAACACCTGGTGCGAGGGAGGGGTGGGGGTGGGGTTGAGAATAGTGGGAGTGCGGAAGGAAATTGGGCAATGGCAGTGACTAGCGAATGCAAAAACTTGGGGGGGAACGGATGAGGGGGAGCGGCAGGGGCAGGGGGAAGGGAGACGGGGGAAGAACAGATAAACTCCCGTGACTGAAAAGGATTGCACATGTGGCCTCCCATATGACCTTCCATTTCCTCGTTTTTTCTTGCATGGATGGAAGCTACCAAAAGAGTTACGTAAGGATGAAAAGCATACCTCGTTGGTTTCCGAGCCGCATGCGATGTAACCGTCAGCAACCGTGAGCCCCACAAAGTTCTGCCGGGATAGGGCGACACAGGCGACGGGGGAGCGTGATGTGAGGCAGGAACGGGGGGACTTTTGAGTTGAGCGAAGTCAAATCAGCACCCATGAGACCCCCAAAGTTTCTTCCAAGAAGGCAGGAAAGAGACGAAGTTACTCTCTCTCTAGCCTCACACGGGAGATGGGGGAAACAGGGTGTGATTCTAGTCTAGAGAGAGGGACAGGAGAGGTGCGGTAGGAGAGAGGATACAGATGTGCGCAAAGAAGCAAGTAACGGACGAAAGACCAAAGCGGCACGAGAGCCAGTGAAAGTCGGGAATGAGCACAAGGAGAGCCACCAGCTACAAAAGCCACACATTACACCGCCATACCCGACCCCGCAAGCAGGTGTGTCCTCTGAACTTCCTCGTGCAAGCAGAGCCACCCTCACCTCACCCCCACTCCCCTTTCCTGCTTTGTTGCAGGTGCTTTTTGTGAAATTTCGAAATGTTACACCTACTATTTGAGATTAAAAGAAAGAAAACATCCCACCTTCTCATTGGTGTGGCCTGTGAACGTCCTGGTGCAAGCAGAGGCCCCATCCACCCCACCGCCCGCCTGCTGACTGCACGCGTGGTTGAGGTCCCACAGCTTGAGAGTGTTGTCTGTTGAGGCAGACACGATGGTGGAAGCGTCGACGAATTTCACGTAGCTCACAGCCTTGCTGTGGCCCGTGAGCGTGGCGAGAGGGGCGCGGAGGGAGCGCAGGTCGAAGCAGTGCAGCGAGTAGTCGGCTGAGCCGAGGGCGAGGAGGTGCGATGAGTGCGGGGGGAAGGCCACAGAGCACACGTTGGCCTTGGTGTGAATCGTGCCGACGCTCGTGTCCTGAGAGGGAGGGGCCGGAGAGGAGAGGGAGAAGGAGAGATGGAGGAGGAAAGGAGGGGCGGGGGAGGAGAGGGGGACCCAGAAGTGTGCAAAGAGGAAAGGGATGCCAAAAGAGGGAGCGGAGCGAGCGCAGGTCGAAGCAGTGGAGGGAGTAGTCGGCCGAACTGAGCGCGAGGAGGTGCGATGAGTGGGGGGGAAGGCCACGGAACAGACGTTGGCCTTGGTGTGAATGGTGCCGACGCTCGTGTCCTGAGGCAGGGGAACGAGGGAGAAGAGAGAGATGGGGAGTGGGGAAGAAAGAGAGACGGGGAGTGGGGGAGAAGTAGAGGGAGAGGCAGTGAGTGTAAGTAGCGGAAAAAGGAATGCAAGAGGGAGGGCGCAGGTTGAAGCAGTGGAGGTAGTGGCATCACCTGGTTGGCACCCCACCAGCTTCACACACACACACACTCAGTATCGCTGCTTCGTGCGTACTGAGTGCGCACTTCAACCAACTCAGGCCAATCAGCACACGCCACCTGGTTGCCGTCCCACCTGATTGATGCTCCACAGCTTCACAGTGCCGTCGTCGCTGCCGCTGGCGAGGCGAGTGGGGTCGCAGGGGGAGAAGTCCACACTCCACGCGCGCTTCTCGTGCTCCCCCCACTCCATCACCGCTGCTCCCGTGCCCGCATCCCACAGCTGGACATTGCAAGGAAGATAGGAAGGGAAGAGGGGAAGGGAAGGTCAGTGGGGAGTGCATAGAGGTTCCCCAAGCATCACCCCACGCACGCTTCTCGTGCTCCCCAGTTCAACATCTAGGTCAGGAAAGGAGGGAAGGGGTTCGAGGAGGGGAAAAGGGAGGGGAGAGTGGGAGCGGAAGGGGTGGGGGGGGGGAACGGGATGGGGGGAGTGGGAGGGGGAGGGGAAGGTGTGGGGTGGGACAAAGGAAGGGGGAAGGGGAAAGGGGGAGGAGAAGATGTGTGGGGGGAATAAGGGGGGAGAGGGGGAGGGTAAGAGGAAGGAGCACATGGGAGAGGGTGAAGCGGAGGGGGAAGCTCACCTGCACCATTGCACCATAACCAGCAGAAGCGAGCCGGTTCTTGATACACCCGTTCCACCTAACACAAGACTGTTTGTCCCGGCACCCCTGGTCCACCACGGGGTAGTGCACGCCCACTTGGTGCCATGCGCCCATGTTCCCATTCCATGCCCCCAGTGCTCACCCCTCCCCCTCCAAACTCTCACCTGCACAACCCCGTCGTAATCCGCGGAAGCAAGCCGGTTCTTGATATACCCATTCCAGCTCACACACGACAGCTTGGCCCGGCACCCCATCTCCACCACGGGGTAATGCACGTCCACTCGCCGCCCGGCCAGCACGCTCTCGCACTCAAAGATCCGAATGCGCCGGCACACGCCACCCGTGGCGAAGAACTGCGCGTCGCGGTCGAAGGCGAGCGAGCACACCATGGACGCCGCGCTCAGCAGGTGCGCGTGGCGGAGGGTTGCGCGCACTTCAAAGCGCGAGTAGCGGGCGAACTTGCAGAGGGAATCGAAGAACTCGCCTAGTAGGTCCCTGCTGCCCGCGCCGCCTCCCTGCTGCTGCTCGTGCAGATGCTGCTGCTGGTGGTGGTGGTTCTGCTGCTGCTGTGGTGCTGCCATCGCTCCGCCTGCTCTTCCTGCCGCTGCTGCCGCTGCTGCTGGTGCCCCTGCCCCACCCCCTGCAGCTGCTTCTGCTGCTGCTGCAGCACCCCCTGCACCAACTTCAGTCTGCCCTGCCCCTGCCTCTGCCTCTGCCTCTGCCCCTCTGCCTTCGCCTCTTCTGTCCTCTCCTCCCCTTTCCGCTACCTCTTCTTGCCTTACCCGATCCTGACTGGACTCATTATCCGCACCAGCATCAGCACCATCACCTCCACCACCACCGCCAACACCACCACCAAGGCCAGCACTACTGCCACCATCACCCCGACCACCACCGCCAACACCGGGGGCGACAGCAGAAGCACGCGGGGCAGCAAGAGGCACAGCAGCGTCATTCCCAGGAAGAGCAGCTGAAGCGGCAGCAGAGGCGGCGGCAGCACCGCCCCCCCTCGCCTGAGCTCCCCCATTGGCCGCCTCTACCCGCCAGCGCATGGCGAAATAGACCTCTTCCAACCGGTCAAAGTTACGCAGTAACCGCACGGTCCTCCTTGCGCCCCGCGGCCGACCCATGCCGAACGGAGCAGGTGCAGCTGCAGTGACAGCACCAGCACCACCAGCAACACCAGCAACACCAGCAGCAGCAACACTACCAGCACCACCACGAGTACCAGCAGCAGCAGCAGCGGCAGCGGCAGCAGCAGGGAAAGAAGGAAGATGTCGTGACCCTCCTTGTGCCTCCTCCACTTCACCACTCGCCCATCTCCCTCCCACATCTCGCCCTCCCCCACCAGTGCTCACCACCCCACTCACATCAGCAGCAGCAGCAGCAGCAGCACCGTGAGTTGCTGGGATGAGCCCAGGGCGAGGGGAGCGAGGGGAAAAGGCACCCCATAGGTCCCTCTCTGCCCCACCGCTCATGTCACTCCCTGCCTCTCTACCACCACCCTCCCACCCAGTCTCCCTGCCGCCCCCTCTGCCGCCTTCCCTATCCTCTACCGTCTGTGCTGATGGCGCCGGCAGCATGAGCGGCTGAGACTGCCCCTGCTGCTGCCCCTGGGACTGCCCTAATCCATGCATGTGCATTTGCCGCCCGTGCCCCTGCCGCCCGTGCGCGTGCTGGCCGCCCATGACGGCAGCCCGCCTGCGGTGCACCTCGTGGATGTCCCCTGTGAGCCGCCCGAGATCCAGGGCGAGTTTCTGGGCGGCAGACTGCTTGGCGAGGTGGATGCGCGAGAGGAAGGCCAGCAGCACGTCGCACTCCGCCTCCTGTGCCTCTAACCCCGCCTGCTGCCCCCTGTGCGCAAACATGCTTGCTACGTCTGCCAATAACTGGCTGCTTCGCACCTCCCTGCATGGGTGGAGACGGACAGCAGGTGGGGGAGATGGTATGATACTGGCATTTAGAATGAATAGAGAGGAAGGCGAGCAGCACATCACACTCCGCCTCCTGTGCTTCCAACCCTGCTTGCTGGCCCCTGTGTGCGAACATGCTCGCCACTTCTGCCAATAACTGGCTGCTGCGTACTTCTCTGCAGGGGTTGAGGGGGAAAACAACAGGTGGGGCAGCCGGTACAAGACAGTGTTGAGAGAGAGTGACCAGGAAGGCGAGCAGCACATCGCACTCCGCCTCCTGTGCTTCCAACCCTGCTTGCTGGCCCCTGTGTGCGAACATGCTCGCCACTTCTGCCAATAACTGGCTGCTGCGTACTTCTCTGCAGGGGTTGAGGGGGAAAACAACAGGTGGGGCAGCCGGTACAAGACAGTGTTGAGAGAGAGTGACCAGGAAGGCGAGCAGCACATCGCACTCCGCCTCCTGTGCTTCCAACCCTGCTTGCTGGCCCCTGTGTGCGAACATGCTCGCCACGTCTGCCAATAACTGGCTGCTGCGTACTTCTCTGCAGGGGTTGAGGGGGAAAACAACAGGTGGGGCAGCCGGTACAAGACAGTGTTGAGAGAGAGTGACCAGGAAGGCGAGCAGCACATCGCACTCCGCCTCCTGTGCTTCCAACCCTGCTTGCTGGCCCCTGTGTGCGAACATGCTCGCCACGTCTGCCAATAACTGGCTGCTGCGTACTTCTCTGCAGGGGTTGAGGGGGAAAACAACAGGTGGGGCAGCCGGTACAAGACAGTGTTGAGAGAGAGTGACCAGGAAGGCGAGCAGCACATCGCACTCCGCCTCCTGTGCCTCCAACCCCGCTTGTTGCCCTCTGTGTGCGAACATGCTGGCGACATCAGCCAAAAGCTGGCTGCTGCGCACCTCCCTGCAGAATGGGCAGGGAAGATGGAAGGGGACAGTACGTAACATGAGTCAAGAGGAAGGCGAGCAGCACATCACACTCCGCCTCCTGTGCTTCCAGCCCCGCCTGCTGCCCTCTGTGCGCGAACATGCTCGCCACGTCTGCTAGCATTTGACTGCTCCGCACCTCCCTGCAGGGGTGAGGAGGGGGAACAGGTGGGAAGAGCAGGTGTGGAAGACGGAACAAGACAGTGCTTGAGAATGAATGCGCGAGAGGAAGGTGAGCAGCACGTCACACTCCCCCTCCTGTGCCTCTAGCCCCGCCTGCTGCCCCCTGTGCGCGAACATGCTGGCGATATCAGCCAAAAGCTGGCTGCTGCGCACCTCACTGCAAGGGTAGGGGGGAACAGGTGGGGGGAACAGGTGGGGAACAGGTGGGGGGAACAGGTGGGGAACAGGTGGGGGGAACAGGTGGGGAACAGGTGGGGGAACAGGTGGGGAACAGGTGGGGGGAACATGAGTTTTAAAAAGGGGGCGTCAAGGGGGAAGGTCAACGGGGAGGGACGTCAAAAGGTGGGGGCACGGGGTGAGAGGAATGAAGAAGCAGGGGCGAGTGAGGCGCAGGGTGGGGAATGCGAAGGTGCTTACGAGGCAGTTGGGCGAGCGGAAGGTTGGGGGTGCAGCAGCCAAAGGCAGAAGGCAGCCTCCTTGGGGCGATGGGAGAGCAGGCGTGGCGGCAATATGCGATGACAGAGGTCGCCCATTATCATGCTCCTCTCCGTGGCGCTGGTGAATGGACAGAAGAGCTGGTGGGGAGGGAGGGGAAGGAGTGGAGAGGGGTGGGGAGTGTTTGGAGGGGGCAAGATACACAGCGGGAGGGAGGCAAGCAGGATGCAATGGCAGAGGTCGGCCATTCTCATGCTCCTCTCCGTGGCGCTGGTGAAGGCTCAGATCAAAGAAAAGCCCACGCCCAGCTTGAACTCATCAGCGGCGAGACTCAATGCTCACCCCACACTCACACCCCTCGCACGCCCCACTCTTCCCCCACACTCATCCAAAGAAGAGCCCACGCCACTCCCACACCTCACCTCGAAGAAGAGCACGCCGAGCTTGAACACCTCAGACGCCGCTCCCACACGATCAAATCTTGGGGTGAGACTCGCAACTCGCCCCTCTCTTCCATCCACCCGACTCTCACGCCTCACCTCAGAAGAAGGCTCACCTCAAAGAAGAGCACGCCCAGCTTGAACACGTCAGACGCCGCCCCCACAGGGTCGCCCCTCGCCTCCTCCGGTGACGTGTACCACCGCGCCTCCTCCTCCTCCGCCCTCCCCCCCTCTCCCCCTGCCCCTCCCCCTCCGCCTCCCCCTCCGCCTCCCCACTGCATGTCCCCTCCCCCTTGTTCTCCTGCCTCCGCCCCTCTAGCACTGGGGTTTAGGCGCTGTTGTCCTGCCATGCCGCGCCCTGCTGCTGTGCGCTGTGCCCTCCCTCCCTCTTGCCCCTGCGCCAGACGACCCTGCCCCACTTGCCCCTGCCCCTGCGCCACCATCCCCTCCTCATCCTGCTCCTGCAGCATCGCCCGCTGCCATGCCTCCGCCTGCTGCTCCCTCCAAGTCGCTGTCCCTTCTGCTGCCCCTCCGCCCGCACCCCCCTCCTCTTGTTGCCGCCACCCCTCCTCCTGCTGCTGCTGCTGCTCCTCCCGTTGCAACCGCACCTGCCCTCCGCCCCCTCTTTCCCCCATCTCCCCTTCACCTTCCCCCGCCTCCCCCGCCTCCCCCTCCCCCGACTCCCCCGCTCGCGCCCGCAGGAACGGCGGATGATACACCACCCGTCGGTGCGCAGACAGGACAAAGCACGCCGGGCGCACGTGGCTTACCACGTGGCCCTGAGTGTGGGCGGCAGCCACCATGTCCACCACCTGCGCGAACAGAAACAGACTCTCCAACCGGTCCACCTCCCTGCCTGCTCGGTTCAGCCAACGCCGCAGAGACAGCACAGGTTGAGGTGCAGGGTTCATAGTGGATGGGTCTACTCTGTGTGGTTGAGGTATGGTCACTGGTGGGTCGAGCTTGGGTGGTTGATGCGCGGTTGCGGGTGGGTCAAGCCTGGGAGGGGGCATGCGGGGTGGTGAGGGGCGGAGGGGGGTTGGGAGGTTGGGGGTTGCTGCTGCAGCGCGGAGTGCGGGGGGTGGGGGGTGGAGGGTGGCTGGCGGAGGGGGAGGGGGAGTGACGGGGGGAGGCGGGGATGGAGTGTGGGGGAGGTGGGGAGGAGGGTGGCGGAGGAAGGGTGGTGGATGCGCGGAGGAGGGGGGGTTGGCGGGTAGAGTGGCTGGGCCTCCGCCTATGCCTCTTGCAGCTGGTGCTGGTGCTGCTGCTGCTGCCCCGCCTGCTGCTATTCTCTCCGCCATCCCATGCGTTTGCCTCAGTTGCTGCTGTTGAAGTGGCGGTGGTGACAGAGGGTCGTGGCGCTGCTGCTGTTGCAGCGGCTGCTGCCACTGCTGCTGCTGCTGCTGCCTGGGGCCTGCCAGTGGCGCCTGCGGCCGTGCTACCCCTGCTGCCACTCCTGCCCAGCCTGCCGCTGTTGGTCCACCAACATCACCACTGCCCCCATCACCACCACCTGTGCCACCTGCGCCAGCAGCGCCAGTCACCCTTCCGCCGCCCCCAGCCCCAGCTGCGCCACTGCCTGGCGCATTGCCGCCCTGCACTCTCCCCTCCCCCGCCATCCGTTGCTCCGCCTCCCCACCTCCCATCTGCCTCCCTTCCCCTCTGCCCCCTCTCGCCACCCCTCGCGCCCCACACACCACAGCCACCTGACTCCCCTGCCCCGCCCTCCCCCTCCCTCCGCCCTCTCCCCTCCCCATCTCCTCCCTCCCCGCTTCCCGCGCCCCTCCCCCTCCCCTTCCCCCTCCGCCTCCCCCTCCCCCCGCCCCTCCGCCACTCCCCTCCGACTCCTCAGTCTCGTCCAGCGAGCTCCCCGTGCGCTCCCCCGCGCCTGCGCCCATGCCCCCCGCGCGGGGGGGCGCGCAGACGTTGGAGTTGCTGCGGAGCCCCTCCTCCGCGCGCCCCCCCAGCTGCTGCGTGGAGAAGAGGAACGGCCCCGTTACAAGCACACGCTCTGAGGGTACAGCAGGGGCGGAAGGCCCCCCGTGCGCCAAGTGCGCCCCGTGCGCCCCATGCGCCCCATGCGCCCCGTGCGGCCCCCCTGCTCCCTCCCGCTCCCCCCAGCCCGTTTCTCCTGCCTCCTCCACAAAACCACCACCGTAGCCATCACCACCGTCCGCAGCACCACCCGCACCAGCCACACCAGCGGCACCGCCAGCACTAGCACCAGCGGCAGCGGCAGCAGAAGCAGCAGCAAGCCCAGGACCAACAGCGGCACCCCCTTGCTGCGCCCTGCGCCGTATGTCCGCCTGCACAACAGGGTGGAACCACCCCTCTGCCGCCCGCCCAGGCTCACCCACCAATGGCAGCGCTGCACGTGCCCCCCCTGCCGCCCGGCCCTCTGCTGTCGCCGCCCGCCCTTCCCCTGCCGCCCCTGCCGCCCCTACCGCCCCTGCCGGCCCCCACCCTGCACCAGCTGGGTCGTTCCACACCTCCGCGCCCATGTCCGCTCCCACGTCATCCCGCCCTTCCCCCTGCTCCCCCCCCGCTTCCCCCTCTTCCTCCGCCTCCTCCGCCCCCTCCGCCTCCCCGCAGCCCCCTTCGCGCACGCCACCGCCAACACCCCTTGCATCCGCGCGCGCAGCCCCCTGCCCCAGCACGGCCCGCCACCGTCCCCCTGCCGCCGCCCCCTGCTCCGCCTCGCCTCTCGCGCAGCCTGTGGGGGAAACTGCGCGCACAGGCGCAACTGGCGCTGCTGGCGCTGCTACTGCTGCTGGCGACGATGCAGCCGCTGCTACACCTGGAGGCGAGATTATCCTGCCACCAGTGTCTGCTGCCTGCTGTCCCTGCTGTCCCTGTTGCTGCCCCTGCTGCTGCCCCTGCTGCGCCATAAGCCTTGCGCCATTCATCCCTCCCCCCTGCTCCCCCCGCCGCCCAGCCGCCGCGCCAGCCACCGCCCACATCCTCTCCTGTCCCCCAACGCCCACTGCGCCTGCCACACCCGCGCGTCCGTCCGCCCCCAACACTCCGCCCCGCCCCCTGCCTCCCCCGGGCGTCCCCCTGTTCAGCTGCGCGCGCATGTCCCGCTGCAGCAGGCGCAAGTATTGGCGCTGCAGCTGGCGCTGCTGCTGCAGAAGGTCCACTCCGCCATGCGCGCCCTCCGCGCCCTCTCCGCCTCCGCGCATGAGCAGCGAGTGCTGCGCCGCCGCCAGCATCTGCCTGTGCTGCTGCAGCAACCGCTGCCGAATGCTCGCGCCCTCCCCCTCATCCGCCCCCCCTACCTCCTCCCCTTCCTGCTCCCGCTCCTGCTCCTGCGCCTGCTCCTGCTCCTGCGCCTGCTCCTGCTCCTGCGCCTGCTCCTGCTCTTGCGCCTGCTCTTGCTCCTGTGCCTGCTCCTCCCCTTCTTCCTCCTCCCCTGGCTCCCCCTGTTCCCCGTGTTCCCCCGGTCCCTTCTCGCACGCCTGATCCTGCGCCGGCTTCCGCCCATCCTCCCCCGGCCATCCTTGCCCAGCCCCTTGCCCCTCATATTGTACTCCTCCCAACACCTCCGCACCTCCGCCCCTATCCTGCTCCCCCCGCCATGCCCCGCCGAACCCTATCTCACCCGCCGCCCCTGCAGCGCCCTCTCCGCCTTGCCGCTCCGTCCGCGCGCGCTTCCTGCGCGCCTCGTTGTCCTCTCCCCATTCCCCTGCTCCCTCGTCCGCACCCGCCGGTCGCCATTGTGCTTGCCCGTTCCCCTCACCCACCCCATCCGCGGATCTTACTGCCCCAGCCCCTACTCTTCCGCCTTCCGCCCCTCCGCCCGCCGCGTGCGCGCCAGGCGCAGTCCGCAGCTCTGCGCCCATCAGTCTCACGCGCTCCCGCGCCAAACCGCCTTCCGCCCCGCCACGGCTGGCGGGGGGCAGAGCCGGCGGGCGCATGAGGAGCGCGCGGGGATCAGGGTTTGCGCCACTGCGGCCGTCCCCCGGCTGGGACTCTCTCACGTGCTGCTGCGATCGGTCCGTGTCCATAGGTGCCGCGTCAGGTGCCCTGTCAGGTGGTGCTGCTTCAGGTGCCGCGTCAGGTGCCGCGTCAGGTGCCGTGTCAGGTGCCGTGTCAGGTGCCGTGTCAGGTGCCGCAAATTGATCAGCTCCGTCAACCCTGATCCCACCCGGTGCGTCCCCTCCACCCTCACCCACAACAGCCGATCGCCGACCAATGAAAGTAAATACCTGCTCGCCCTCTGCCCCCCTTGCCACCTCTCTTCCCCCCGTACCCACGCCTGGCGCAGCTGTGGCAAGCGGGAGAGCGGATGCGAAGGCGGCAGCGGAAGTGGGAGCAGGAGCCGTAGCGGAAGCGGGAGAGGTAGCGGGAGCGGAAGTGGGAGCGGAAGCGGGAGCAGAAGCGGGAGCGGAAGCGGAAGAGGAAGCCGTAGCTGCGGCGGCGGCGGCCGCGAGATCGTGCTGCTGCTGGCGGCGCCACTGACTGAGCAGAAGCTCTTGCTGCTGCTGCCGCTGGCACTTGCTGCGCTGCTGCTCGCGCTGCACGTGCTGCCGCAGCAGCTGCCGCGATAGCGACCCCTCGCGCGGAGCTACGTGGCTGATGTTGCGCACCCGGCGGGGAAGCGGCGGGCTAATGCGGCGCGCGGGGGGGGCGGGCGGCGGAGCGGAAGGGAGCGGCGCGGGGGAGAGCGTGGAGGTGGCGGAAACTAAGTGAAGCGCGGTGCCATGGGGATCGGCGGGGAGACATGGTGGGTCGTCGGACGGCGGGGAGGGGGACTTGGGGAAGGACGGGCCGGGGGAGTTGCGCAGGGACTGGAGGAGGGTGATTGGCGCGGGAGGCAATTGCGCGGCGGGGGAGGGGGGAGCCAGAAGAGTGACTGGGCGGAGGGAGGAGGATGTGGGCCCGGGGACGGCGGGGGAGGCGGGTCGAGTAGGGGAATTGGCGGATGGCGGGGTGGGCGATCGGGACGAAGGCATGTGCTCGGCACGCGCGCGCGAGGAAACCGGTCAGAAGGCCCGCTGCGGGCCCTCGATCGGCTGCGAGAGGCGAAGGAGTCGAGAGACGTTTTTGAAGACCAATTGGAGGGTCGCTTGTAGCGATTCGCGTCGTTTCAACCTGCCAGTCGAAGTATGCGGTCGCGGGGCTTTCACTGAAATATGCCACTGTTACCTACAACGTCGGGTTAAGGTGATCGCCAGCAGATAATCGAACGAGAACGAGAAGTTAGCCTAGGGATTAGTTTCAGTGATGCATCCTACCGAGGCTACCGGTACAGCTCCAACCGGCGGTTCTTAGTTCACAATATTATTATTTCTCAGCCAAATAATCGTTCGTTCCTTCCGCCAGCGATAACTGCGCAGGGTTCCCGGTTGATTTGACCGAACAGGCAAGCTGAGTGTAAGCGAGAGCGACGCGTGACAGAGAAGAATGGCTCATAAACTAATCTGAGGTAGCTATGCGTCATAACTTGCGACGGAGTCCGTTTTGAGCCGCGTGGACTCCGAGGGCCACTCACGCACAAACCCTGATATCACATCGCGACTTCGCAATTATTCCATTCTGTACGAGAAGATATTAGTTGGAAATTGGAACAATGGACACCTTACAAACCTAACCCTAAAAAACGGTTCCTGGATCTCAACCAAGGAACGATCAAGAGAAGTGGCAGTGAGGAGCCACTTCTTGAATCCGTGGTCGCTGCTGGTGCTGCTGATTCTGTTGGTTGGGACAAGCAAGCAAACCCTTCACTCACTCATGGCAGCTTCTGCTTGCTCATCCAAGTGTGACGCTCGCAGCCATATCTTTGGTTCCATAACATGAACCAAATCCCTCCAGCCCCAATGGGTGGTGGTGGTGGATACACCCACCGACGAATCTTTCGCTCAGGGCCACGTATCGATCGGACGCTCCAGTGTTCTGCCACAATTCGCATTCTTATGCTGCCACGCGGCCTTCCTTCAAACCTCAAAAATTGCACCTAGGAGTTGCCTATCATTAGCCTTAAAAGTTTGCGAATTTTACTGGCAGAGACTACATTCCTTTCAAACTTTCAGCCCCGATGCTTGATAAGCTCCTCCTGCGAGAACCATGCAGCCAAACAACCGACACCCAACTCCCTAGATTTCCGACGAATCGGTCTCCACCAGAGACCTTCGTAGTGTCCTGACCTAATGTCGACCCAGACCCCAGAATAAGATTAGTATGAAGTACCGTATCTAAATGGTACAAAATCTGAAAACTAGCCCAAACCCCACTTCCAAAGCTGACCCCCACCCTGAAGGACTTTTATGTTACCCGAATCTTCAGATCTTTGCAGCGTGACGAAAAAGAACAAGAGACCCTGCCGTAAAGACACCGCTTCACGAATCTGATATTTCCCCCTCGCGTGCGAAATCATTTTATCGCAGGATTTCTGAGAAAGCACATTAACTATTTTGAAAAAAGGCTGATATACAGGCGAATAGTTAGAAATATTTTACATTAATTTCGGAATTATAACGCAACAGTTCATTGACCAGCAGCCGCCCTAGCTCAGTCGGTAGAGCGCAAGGCTCTTAACCTTGTGGTCGTGGGTTCGAGCCCCACGGGCCTCGTCATAGTACCATTGTGCTAGGCCCAAACCAAGTTCGAAGAACCTCATGGAGGTGTATTTTCTGCACTCCGTATATGGATTTCACAGAGATTATACCCGTTTTGCTAAGTGCTACCGGTAGATGCTTCTGGCAGCACCGTTAAACTGAAACACGTGATTGGTCAGACATTGTTGACTATCCAGTCAGAGTTGCACAGCAGACGCTCCACTCCACCCCTCCATCCAACAGGTTCAGTAGACATCAAATTCCTCCATATTTTTAACCACGAGGACCAAGCCAGACCCTGCTGCACCCTGCTGGACCATGCTGCACCCTGCTTCACCATGCTGCACCCTCCTTAACCCTGCTTGACCATGCTGCACCGCACCCAGCCGCACCCTGCTTGACCATGCCGCACCCTCCTTACCCTGCATGACCCTGCCGCACCCTGACGCACCCTGCCGTACCCTACTTGAACCTGCTGGGCGCAGCTCTGTCCATTCCTCTCGAAAATGCCAGACTGCCACCACTTCACCTTGTGCACTGCCTTAGCCTTTGCTTGCTCCACATGAGGGACTTGAGGCAAGACATTGCAAGCGATTCTTGAGAACTCTCAAAAATCGCTCACAAGAACATGCAGATTTGACACGGCACAGCCAGGTTCACGTGTGGGCAGCTGGAATCATAAAAGGTAACGCAGTTTACAACCTATCTCCAGCTCTCCCTCTCCTGCAGCCAATCCCAAGGCTCTTCCTCCTCTCCCCCGCCTGCGCCTGCGCACGCTCCCACTGCTGGTCCTCCATGAACAGTGCCACCGCCGCCCGCACGTCGCCGCCAGCCTCGCCCAGGTAGTACTGCGCTGTTGGCTCGTCCACCTGAAGGGCCCTCTGCAACAGAGAAACCACCTGCGCAGTGCCGTGTGCTGCCGAGGGCCTGAGGAGGTAAGCGGGTGTGAAGAGCAGGTGGAATAGCAAGGGGAGCAAAGTGACTTTTGGGTGCTGCCAGCGACTACAACAAAACATCTGTGCAGTGCCACGTGCTGCAGAAGGTCTGAGGGAGGGAGGGAGGGAGGGAGGGAGGGAGGGAGGGAGGGAGGGAGGGAGGGAGGGAGGGAGGGAGGGAGGGAGGGAGGGAGGGAGGGAGGGAGGGAGGGAGGGAGGGAGGGAGGGAGGTGTGAGGGAGCGTGAGGAGTAGCAAAGGGAACGAAGTGGTGGAGAAGTGTGGGGGAGCAAAGTGATATTTGAGCTGACTCATATGGAACCACCTGCACCATGCCATGTGCCGCTGAGGGTGTGAGGGAGGGAGGGAGTGTGAGGAGCAGGAGGACAGGATGGTGTGATGGCACGATGTTATACAATGGCATGATTACATGATGGCATAACAGCAAAATGACATGACATCAGAGGGAAAGGACACACAAAAGGCAACTAGGAAACGAGCAATGATGGTCTTGATCGGTGCGAGCACCAGGGAAAGTCAAGAACACACCATATAATTGATGACACCTGCATGGTCGTGATGTGGCGCCAGACACATCCATACAAGATCAGCAGATAATACCTTATGATTGACACTTGAGCTTTAGGAGTAACACGATCACTCTCTCGGTATCACTACCATGTTGCTATCAATCTCAGTACTATCACTCTCATTATAAGCACCTGGCATTCCGTGCCTCGCCATACGCCTGCCGAATCTCCCCCTCCTCCCCCTCCTGGAACACCAGCAGCACCTCCCGCCGCGCGTGCGAGTCAAACTGGACGGCGCAGTGCCGCCCCGCCAGCTCAGCCGGGCGGCGGGCGGCAGGGATGGGGATGAGGAGGCGCGTGCGCGTGTGGATGGCATGGTCGCTTATGATGTTGTTGAGGCGCCGGATGTCCATGGCCTGGGGGGTTGCGGGGAGAGCGGTGAGGGGGACACGTGCGCGTGGGCATCAGAACGCTCAGATACATGTGCAATACATGGCCCCCAGGTGCACGTGTGGATGGCATGGTCGCTCATGATGTTGTTCAGACGCCGGATGTCCATGGCCTGAGGGGGGGAAAGGGGGGGGGGGGGGGGGGGGGGGGGGGGGGTGGTGGCGCAGATGTGTGGGCAGGCATAAGTACATTCAGGTATGCATGCATGGCATCGTTTGGTGTGGTCGCTCATAATGTTGTTGAGGCGCCGGATGTCCATGGCCTGGGGGGTTGCGGGGAGAGCGGTGAGGGGGACACGTGCGCGTGGGCATCTATACGTTTGAATATGCATGCAACGCATGGCCCCCACGTGCGCGTGTGGATGGCATGGTCGCTCATGAGCCGCCGGATGTCCATGGCCTGGGGGGAGGGCAGCACACATGCATGGAACACACTCCGCGGCATATCAGATATGCATTGCATGGCACGGCCTTGGGGGCATGGCATGGTCGCTCAAGATGTTGTTGAGACGCCGGATGTCCATGGCCCGGGGGGACGAAGAGCACACATGCATGGAACACACTCCGAGGCATATCAAATATGCATTGCATGGTCGCTCATGGTGTTGTGGAGATGCCGGATGTCCATGACCTGGGGAGGAAGGGCACATGTGTGGGCATGCCAGCACAAATGCATGGTCATGGCAGCACACCCTCGTCGTTTTTTTCCGGACATGCATGCAAGACACGGCCCGTTTGCAAGACACGGCCCGTTTGCACATACTGTGGTTTAGTCTATCTTTGAGTCGACTAAAAAATAGACTGCCTGCAAGGCACACCGTGTTTGCACATGCTGTGGCTGAGGTGGCGAGAGGGTGTCCATGGCACGTGTGTCAATCTCAACATCCCATGTGGCAGCACCATCAGGACGCCACGTGGCAGTCCCAACAGTAGCCACGAGTCAGCCTGACTCACCTGTACGTGGAAGCGCACTGCCAGGCTGGCAATGGAGTCGGTTCGGCCAATGGGGTGCGAGAGAGCGAACTCGGGCGATGCGAGGAGCGAGAGGAGTGGCGGGGGGGAGCGGCGGGCGATGAGAGCAGCAGAGGACGAGGGGGGTGAGGGGAGTGCAAGTGGGCGTGGGAGCGCGATGCAGGAGTGGAGGCGGAATGGAGGAGAGGGGATGACAGCTTATCGCCCTTTGCCTCTGGCACTGGTGTTGCTGATGCTGATGCTGATGCTGATGCTGATGCTGGCGTTGGTGGTGCTGGGGCAGCGGAGGGGGAGAGGCGCAGGGAGAGCAGGTGGTGGGAGCGGCAGAAGGCAGCGCAGCACAGCGAGGGGTCGAGGGCGAGTGGGCGCCAGCGACGACACACAGCCGCCACGCGGGGGAGGTCAGCCTGGCGGAGAGAGGGAAGGGGACGGGTGGGGGGAGAACGAGATGGGGACAGGGATGGCTTTAGAGCAGCAAAGGGGACAGTGGATGGGGGAGGCGCAGGGAGAGCAGGCAGTGGGAACGGCAGAAGGCAAGGCAGAGTAGCACAGCGAGGGGTCGAGGGCGAGCGGGCGCCAGCGACGGCACACAGCCGCCACACGGGGGAGGTCAGCCTGTCAGGTACCACAGGGTGGGTGGGGAACACAGGGTGAGCAGCGCAGCACAGCGAGGGGTCGAGGGCGAGTGGGCGCCAGCGGAGGCACACAGCGGCCACACGGGGGAGGTCAGCCTGTCAGGTACCACAGGGTGGGTGGGGAACACAGGGTGAGCAGCGCAGCACAGCGAGGGGTCGAGGGCGAGTGGGCGCCAGCGGAGGCACACAGCGGCCACACGGGGGAGGTCAGCCTGTCAGGTACCACAGGGTGGGTGGGGAACACAGGGTGAGCAGCGCAGCACAGCGAGGGGTCGAGGGCGAGTGGGCGCCAGCGGAGGCACACAGCGGCCACACGGGGGAGGTCAGCCTGTCAGGTACCACAGGGTGGGTGGGGAACACAGGGTGAGCAGCGCAGCACAGCGAGGGGTCGAGGGCGAGTGGGCGCCAGCGGAGGCACACAGCGGCCACACGGGGGAGGTCAGCCTGTCAGGTACCACAGGGTGGGTGGGGAACTCAGGGTGAGCAGCGCAGCACAGCGAGGGGTCGAGGGCGAGTGGGCGCCAGCGGAGGCACACGGCGGCCACACGGGGGAGGTCAGCCTGTCAGGTACCACAGGGGGGTGTGGAGGGGAACAGGGGGCGGGAGGCCCAGGGTGAGCAGCAGAGCGAGAGGTCGAGGGTGAGTGGGCGCCAGCGGCAGCACACACAGCAGCCATGCGGGGAAGGTCAGCCTGGGGAAACGTGAAGGGGAGGTGGGGGTTGGGCAAGAGCGAGATGGGGACAGGGATGGATACAGAGCAGGGAGGGAGGCAGCAGGGGGTGGGAGGCGCAGGGGGAGCAGAGCAGCAGAGATAGGGGTGGAGGGTGAGAGGGCACCAGTGTCGACACATGGCCGCCACGCGGGAAGGTCAGATTGGCGGAGGGAGGGACGAGGGAGGGGGAGTGATGCAGACACGGAAACGCGGAGCCGAAATGCGGGGTACGAAACGGTGGAGTGGAGTGGAGATGGGTGCTGTTGGAGAAACGAGAGTGAACAGGAGTGGAGATGCACGGGTGGGCCACAAGGGAAGGCGGATTGTTGGAATCATTAAGGGTGAGTGAGAGATGGAAAGAGACGGAGAGAGGCGCAGGTGGGAGGGAGAGAAATCTGGGTGAAGAAATAAGAGCGAAAGGGGTGGGGGGGAGGGTGGGGGATTGGGTTGGGATTGAGTGTGTCAGAAAAACGGCAAGGGGAGTTGGGAGCAGGCTGAAAAGAGCTAGCAGGGGCAGACGAGACCAGTGCAGCACACATTAGAACGGTCGGAAAGAATGGAAGGGAACGAATGGAGGCAGGGGAAGGGGAACGAAAGGATGGCGATCAGCAACTGACCTTTTGACTCGATATAACGACTCGATATAAGCTTACCACGCTGAGACGGCTGAAGATGTGCCGCAGCACTTCGTCAGGAACCTCATGCACCCTTTCTGATGCCGGCTCACTGCTTTCTTTCAACGAGGATGATGGTGCTGACGCTCCTAACGGAGCAGTCTGTAACGAATCGGCCCATAAGGGCTGTGTGTTTGGTTTGGATGGACAGTACGAGCCGCTGCCGCACTTCTTATCACCAGCCACAGTAACTGACCGCTCTTGTCCTCGCTTCTGAGAAATTCGATAATCGAGGATATGTCTGGAACGCGGCACTGTACTATCCAAGCCACTCTGTATGCCGCTCGTGCTCGTGAACGTGGCGCTACTCCCGACATTAGCACTTGTTTTTACAGTATCAGCGCCGGCGATAAAGCAACAGTCAACGGATGACCGAGAAGGAAAGCACCCCATTAGCTGAGACCGTTGACGCTGGTGCTGCTGCTGATGCTGTTCTACTGTACGCTCTTCCACTGTTTCTAAGTTAAGGCGTTGTGACTGCTGTTTCGACTTTCTCTGTACTAAGCGACCGAGCGGGAGAGTCGCTTCAGGCCGGAAAACATCATGTCGCGCGTTTGTACAATCTACGTGCGATTGCACGAGCGACTGATCGTGCGATAACCCGTGCGACTGCGCGTCAAGGCCTTGCCAGAGAATTTCATAGAGAGAGACGACGGACGGGATGCTGGGATGGGAAGCAGAAGCATGGCATGCGCCGGAAGACATCGCGCGACAAATTGTCGACCTAGCGAACGTCAGCTGGGTCGCAGGCGGAGGCGCGGGAGAGACGGGGACGTTTGAAGCTGAAAGCGAACTTTGGGGTTGGGAGGGGGCGGCAAGGAGAAAATGGGTACAGAGGTATGGAGTCGGAAGGAATTCGGAAAGGGTTGCAGGCAGCGAGAAAATAGGAGCACCAGCAGCAGCGGAGTGCCCCAGGCCTAGATCCTAGTTGTTGCTGCGTGGGGGAATAGTCGGCGACGATGAAAAAGTAAATGGAGGGCGAAAATGACGGGCGACTGGGTGATAGTATGGCGATGGATGGATCCGAGCGAATGTCGCGAGCTGCACCTGTCGCATTCACCTCACTTCGCGGTTGTGCATCGCTTTCGAGTGTCCCCGTTTCTCCCGCGCCTCCGCCTGCGACCCTAGAGGGAAAAGAAAGCACTATTTCGTTTTTTTTTGTTTTGTTTTTTTTTTTTTAGCACCAAGAAGTGATTATCTATTACAATGTAGCATAATTACGCAAGGAAAAGGAGTGGAAACGGGAAGAGAGGAGAAAAGGAGGAATAACGTGAGTAGAAAAAAGGAGAGAGGAAGAAAGAAGGAGGGGAATAGGGGAAAAATGATAGGAGGAAGAAAAACAGGGAAGAAGGAAGAAAAAGCAGCACACACAACCCCAAGAAAACCCCAATAGCACACACATTTAAAACACCATCAAGCCCTCCCATCAAAGCACCCCAACTGCACTCCCATCGAACCAAACCTCCCCCCCTAAACCCACTTTCTAAACCCGCATGTCTACCAAGTATGGTGCATCCGCCCACGGAGCATCCCATCCCATCTCCTCCTCAACATCCTCCCGCTCCACCCAAACAGCCTCTGGGCCTCTCATCATCGACGCAGCGCGTAACAAGATCACACGCGCCTGAGCCCGTTGCAAAGCCACACCCACAGCCGCTTTGAGCGATCCGAGCAAATAAGCCGAGAAACCCTTTCCCGTAGCTCGCGCCGCCCCTTTCGTCTTTGCTATCTCGATCTGCGCGTCACCCTGCTTCTTAAGCCACCGTCCAAAACTCCCCCCCAAGCATCCCCATGTCTCAGCAATGAGTGGTGTGAACTGCACTCCCCCATGCCGCTGTAGAAGCGATTTGTAGTCCGCCGTCTTCCGCTTTTCTCTCTCTCTCGCGGCAAAACCCACCTTGCGACCAATCTGTCCATGGTGCTGCGCGGATAGCGAGATAGGATCTACCACACTAACCTCCAGCGCGTGCTCCTCCCCCTCCCTCAGTTTCCGAACCGCCACATCAACCCTCTTCCCTGGGAGCAACGTGTCGTCTTCCATGGTCACAATCCCACCCGCACCCTTAGCTATCTTCGCCACCACAAATTTAACCGCATCGTGAACCCGAGAAGGTGCATACTGATACTTGCAGCGAAGGGCATGATGCGGGTCAGAGGGATCAGCAAACTCAAACCCACACGCGCACTTGCCGGCCACTATCAGCTGCTGAATAGGGAGGCCTAGGCGCATGGACGCGCAGATGCTCCACTCGGCTGCGGTGAAATAGACAATTATTAATTGTTAATGAATCAATGGAGGGAAAAGAAAACACTATTTGTTTACTAATACTAATTTACATCATTATGTACACTAAAAGTATATCTGATTTCATGAACATGGGAAGCAAAATTTAGCGGTTGCAAAGATAGACAAGCAAGAACATCAGCTTCAAGCTTGACAAAATTATGATTCTCCGATTCCCAAACACACAAAACTTATCCAGCATCATCACTCAACCACCACCACAATCCCACCACACTAGTCCCTCCAAAGCTCATCGTCTGCCTGCACCACCCTGTGCAAGAAGAATCCCAGAGGATGCCATTCTGGCCAGAGGAGACTTGGGAGGCCGAGCTTGCATGTCACATTCATTCGATCCCTTCCCGGTCCCCCTTGCTGCCCTAGTCTCATGACTGGAATTTGGTCTAGCTGCGTTCATCCTGTTACTCCCCCGTTCACTTGCTTCTGTTTGGCTCCTCGCAAATCGACGCCCCGGCGGCTCCGGCAACGGTGCTTCAGCAGCTTCCATTGCCGCATTCAGCCTGTTACTGACTTCTGTTTGGCTCCTTACGAATCGCCTGCCTGGTGGCTCCGGCAACGGCGCTTCAGCAGCAATCATCGCTGCTACCTGCGGCGATGGCTGATCGCACGACACACTTCTGGCGAGCATGTCACTCCGGGGACTCGTGAATCTCATGGGAACCTCTGACTCTGTGGAAAGGCATTCTGGAACCAGCTGCTGCTGCCCCCGCTGCTTGCCCCGCACACCCCTCCTAGTGCCTCCTCTGGTTTGCGGCTCCTCAGAAGATACACCCCTGCTGCTCCCTCCTACACTGCTCTCACATGCCCTCATGTGGCTGCTCTCAGGAGAATGTCCTTGTTCCATGCGGACCCCCCCTCGCCCATAACTCGTGCTTTCCAGCATAAGGTGACTTGGGCAGGGCAGGTGACTTGGGCAGGGAGGGTGACCTGGGTATTGTAGACGACTTGGGGAGTGCGGGTGATTTAGGCAGCGACGGTGACTTGTGCAGAGCGGGTGATCTAGGCACAGAGGGTGAGTTGGGGAGTGTAGATAACTTGGCCAACATTCTCCGTTCCCGCAGTTGCTGTCTGTTGTCAGGCTCAACACTAGCATGGCTAGAGCTCGCCTGGCTGGAGCAGTCATCACTCCACTCCTCCACTGCCCCCTCTGCTGCCTCGCACCCACCATCCCGCCCCCGCCTGTCCTGCCGACCATCCACCTCCCTGCCCTCAGCCGCAACTGAGGCATCACGCACATTCCTCCCACTCTGCCCCGCTGCTCCTTCCCCAGTGAAGCTGACCCGGGAAGTGAGGGACCAGCGTCGAGTGAGCACGGGGGGGCTGGGCAGAGGGGAGGGAGGCTGTGAGATTCGCCCGGTGCCCCCAGGCGTTGAGGTGAGGCTGTCAGGTCCGCCCGGCTGAGAGAAGGAAAAGCTGTCTTCATTGTCCTCACCATCATCATCGTCCTCATCATCATCTGAGTCACGGCTGTGATTGTTGTGAGCAGAGGAGGAAGCAGCGTGCGCATCAGCGGGTGACATGACCCTGCAAGGACGCCCCAGCCCCGCTCGTCCAGAATCACGCTTTTGTGGGTCGGTCTTCGACCGGCTCATAGGCGGGGTGAACGGGCGGCTTCCGCTGTCTGTTCCTCTGGCGCCTGCTGTCAGCCCCGGCCCCCCACTTTGCCCATGTACCACAAACCTGTCGACTCCGGAACTCTTGCCTGCACCATGATACCCAGCAGCAGCAGTGGCAGTAGCGGTAGCAGAGAGGTCTGGGGTGGCAGCAGGGCTTTTGCTGCAGCGGCTGCTGTGGCTGCTGGCCATGCTCCCCATGCTCACGAAGCTATAGGTACTTGATGCCGTGTTACTCCTGCTGAACGCACCCCTTGTCCCACCCCTACCCTTCTCACCACCACTACTGGTAACACCGTAACTGCTCCCGTCACTACTATGAGAGTAATAACCACCTCCACCAACAAAACCACCTTCTGCATATTCTCCCCCAGCACCATTGCCACTCCCCCCCTTCTCCTGCCAACCCCTGCTGGATGAAGTTTCAATCGGCTGCCCGTCACTTTCACGAATGGTCCGGCTTTTACCCAACCTCCCAAAAACTGGCCCGCTGAAAAAGTCAGAGCCCAGCCCTCCCCAGGTGGGGTTAGAAGTTTTGGAGGAGGAAGATTTGGTGGAGGTGTCACCTGATTTGCTGCCGAACGAAAATCCCAACCGTCCACTGTTCCACGCGCGATGCGCGTCGGGTTTGCCCTTCACGACCTCACCCAAATCGCTACTTTCGTCAAACTCGCCAAGCTCGTCTGCGAGACCTGATTTCCGAAACCCTCCGGAAGCATACTCAGTCTGCTCAATTGAGGTAACCCTACCCGAGGACCCACGTCGCCTTTCGTCAGCGCCATGCCCTAACAATCTATCGTCATAATAAGAGTTTTGCGCGTCTGGCGAACCCTTACGAGAGTTAGGCGAGAACGGACGTGGCAAAGGCGATTTGCTACGCGGCCGAACCAGTGTAGTAGGGATAGCGTCAGCTCCGATACAAGTTTTGCTCCGATTCAACTTAAATTTTTCCTCGTCGCCGCAGTTCCTCGTGATACTGCGATTACCCGCACTTGCACCGCAGCTCTTACTCCCAGCACTTATCCTCTCACTGCTAACGTCCCTATCATCAGTACTATGTCCGCTGCTAGTACTGTTAAGACTAGACGCCCTGCTCCACGTGGCGGTTTTCACGAGCGCGCGCGCAGCAGCAACGGTCGTCATCGACAAGGAGCGCGGCGAAATCTGCGGCAGCACGCCTCTGCGCTTCCCGCCGCCGGGGCCGCTGCTGCCGTTGCTTTCCGCAATGCTCCTGCCGCCGTCGGTTCTACCGCCGCTGCGACGCATATCCTCCACGCTCGCCGTCCGCCTCAGCGGCCTCGTTCCCCCGCCAGCTCGCCGCTCCTCCTCCTCCGCCTCCTCGCCTCCCAAATCCCTCAGTTCAACTCTCCCGTTGCGCGCGGAGCGCCCTTCAGCTGCCGCAACAGCCGCCGCAGCCGCGGCGGCGGAACATCTCCCCCTGCTGAGCCCTCCTCTCCCCCCAGGCGCCGTTTCGCCTCCCCCAAACCCACCCCTTCCTTTTCCCACGCTCCCGCCGGACTTTACCCCGCCAAACCCGCCAAGCGCCCCCCCTACGCCGGGTCGCGCGACGAGCTGTAAGAGGCTGCTTTCGCCGTCGTCCCCCGCGCCGCGCTTATCCCGCCAGCCATCCACCGTGCGCTCGCTCACGCGCTGCCGCCGCTGCAGCGTGGGACGGCGGAGCGAAGGAACAAGCAGCTTCCATATGCTGTGCGCCTCGAGAACCACGCCCTGCGCCTTCCGCGCAGCTTCCTCCCAGTCGCCCGATTCGCGCTGCGGAGATTCGGGGATCCACCAACGGTCGGAATCGAACCCCCCCGATCCTTCCGTGAACCCTCCAAACCCTCTCGCGGCCCAGTCTTTAACTCTCGGTAGAATAGTCTCCGTTATAGTCGCCACCTGATTGGCCAGAACGAGCGGATCGTCCGCTGCTACAACAACCAGCTTCCACGAAACTTCCGACCCCAGGCCGGACCGCAGGCGCACGGGCAGCGCGAGAAGCGGCAGCACGGGGAATACGTCGCCCGGGTCGCGCTCCTTTGCGCCGACCTCCACCGCCTCCAACGGCGCGTTGTCCAGAATCACGGGAAACCCGCCGCAATCATCGGGACGGCTGAACGGGTCGCCGGGATCGGCGGCAGAGGAGTCGAGCGGATAAAGGTCGACGTCTGCTGCGGAGGTGTTTTTTTCGGGAAGCGCGGTGGCGGAGGTTGCGGAGGATGCGGGGGACGGTCCGAGAACGCATGTCTGCGGGATGATCCCGAGGTTCCACGGCCGCTGCTCCGAGTCGTCCACCTTGACGGCACCGTCAAGTGCTAGACGTCGACGGCGACCGGCGAGCGACGCGGCGAACGAGCTAGACTTGGAAGAAGTGCAGATGAAGTTGAGGAGGGGAATCGCAGTCGGCTTGCGCCGGGCCGCGGAGGCGGCGCGCGGCGAGGCGCGGCGGGGTGAGTTTCTTGCGGCTGGGGAGGCGAAAAGAATGACGTCATGCCAGATGGATACGATGTCGCCGGCGCGGATGAGCGGAAGGAGGTTCCCCTGAGGCAGGTGCGACATGAGGCGACGCGACGGTATCTACAGGAGGCTTATTTTTTAGTCGACTAAAACTACACGCGGATGAGCGGAAGGAAGTTACCGAGACAGGTGCGACATGAGGCGACGCGACGGTTATTTGTACGAAGGAGGTCGATTATAAGGACTACACGAATCCCATTTTACGTCTGCTTGGGTTGTTGTGCTGAGAAGACGGCCCTTTCTCCTTTTTTGCAACGAAGGCCATCGCACGGGACGAACTAAAACAGAATAAGTGTACTACAGCGAATTACTGAGGCATGCGGAGCGGAAGTGAAGGGGCTCATGGTTTACGAAATGAACAGGAAGTCGTGACTATAGCCCAGTCGCATGTTGGCGTGGGCAGTGCGTTGTTGTGGCTGTGAAATTCGCTGCCGCGCCAAGTCAAGTTGGGAGGAGGCTGTTGCCAAGCTTGCGGATGTGGCGTGGAAAGGGAATTAGGTAGGGAAGGGAGGAATCAGAAGGAAGAGTGAAGAGAGAGAGCCATGTCGGTGCAGGGAAAAATTGGTCCTCGTCGCAACCGCTCTGCGACACATTGCTGTAGAGATCAACAGAAGCTGCCATCAAACTCTGTTGCGAGGGACGAGCAGGTTGACTGCTTGCCGAACAGCGCCAACACCAACCGCCCTGCCACGTCATTGCGAAACCGCCAGTCACGGAGGTTGGGGAGGAGGGAGAGAGTGGAGCATTTTTGCACGAAAGATGATTGCGAGTGGCGAAGAGCATCGCTAGCGATGAAGACCCGCTCCAGCATTGCAGATGCTTCCAGGGCTCTGGTCCTGATCGAGCAGCAAAAGGACAGCCTAGTATATCTCAACGGAATGTAGCCCAGTTTCTGGAGCTACTGGTGCACCGCATTCATCATTCTGACCTGTGTCTTTTCCAGTTCGCACCGTGTAAATGGACCCAGGAATGAAGGTGTTACGGGTGCAATGAATTGTACGAAGTGTCAAACAAGTACGAGGAAACCCATGGCTTACGGCATGCCATTCGGGAGCCTCAACCCTAAAATTTTAGGGTTGAGGCTCCCTCGGATGGCATGCCATCCGAGCGGGTTTTAGTTTTTTCTTGCCCGCGGTCAGCTTGCTGACTCGATTGCACTGCCTGCTTACGCAGGCAGTGCAATATATTACCCAAAACGCGACAGACTCTACCACCCACAAACCTACGAAATTCGAGATACCCTAACGCAGAAGTTATACTTGCGTCAGAGTGACCAATTCGTGCCTGAAAGTGTAGAAATTGGGTCGGTCGATCGGAGTTTTGGAATTCGAAATAGTGCTGACGTGGAGCACGAGTGGTCGACCGATTTGACAAAATTGAAAACCGTCTGGTTTAGTGATTTTTCCCAAGTACGAAGTATGAGGGAAGGCATGAGCGAGTACTCGGAAAAATCACTAAACCCGACGGTTTTCAGATTTGTGTCAAATCGGTCGACCACTCGTGCGCCACGTCAGCTCAAATTAGAAAACCAAAACTCCGATCGACCGACCCTTTTTCTACACTTGCAAGTACGAATTCGTAACCCTGTCGCAAGTGCTACTTCTGCGTTAGGGTTTCTCGAAATTCGTGGGTTTGTGGGTGGTAGCGCTACCGAGTGAGTCAGCATGCTGACCGCGGGCAAAAAAACAAACCCCATGGCTTACGGCATGCCATTTGGGAGCCTCAACCCTAAATTTTTAGGGTTGAGGCTCCCTCGAATGACATGTCGTCCGAGTGGGTTTTAGTTTTTTTTTCTTGCCCGCGGTCAGCTTGCTGACTCGATTGCACTGCCTGCTTACGCAGGCAGTACAATATATATTCCAACCTACACGACACTTTGGTATGTACTGTGCAGACCAACACCCCGACAAAAATGATATCATGCGGGCCAGCACGTGAGCCTAAACCAAACCTACTTTGACAAAGTTACGTACCTACTCAACACCAACCGATAAACATTACTTCATAGCGCAAAAGCTACTGTAGGGTCGATCGGAGTTTTGGAATTCGAAATAGTGCTGACGTGGAGCACGAGTGGTCGACCGATTTGACACAAATCTGAAAACCGTCGGGTTTAGTGATTTTTCCCCCTTCCGTCCTCATCCACTCCACACACCCCCACACACGCACCCGGAAAAATCACTAAACCAGACAGTTTTCAATTTTGTGTCAAATCGGTCGACCACTCGTGCTCCACGTCAGCACTATTTCGAATTCCAAAACTCCGATCGACCCTACATTAGCTTACGCGGTATGGTACAATGTTTATCGTTTGATGTTGAGTGTGTCACCACAGGTATGTAACTTTGTCGGAGTTGGTTTAGGTTATTCCTCTTTAACGTCCCGCATGATTTTGTTTTTGTCGTGGTACAGGTCTGCACAGTACGTACGATGGTGTCGAGCAGGTCGAGTTTAGAGATTGCGATTTGGTCCGATTTGGTCCTTCCAGCATTCAATGCCACGTAGCGCGGGAAAAAAGGCCGGCGCAACCGACTGAGTCACCATTCTGACCGCGAGAAAAAAAAAAAAAAACCCATGGCTTACGGCATGCCATTCGGGAGCCTCAACCCTCAAATTCTAGGGTTGAGGCTCCCTCGGATGGCATGCCATCCGAGTGGGTTTTAGTTTTCTTCTTGCCCGCGGTCAGCTTGCTAACTTGATTGCACTGCCTGCTTACGCAGGCAGTGCAATATATTACCCAAAACGCGACAGACTCTACCACCCACATACCTACGAAATTCGAGAAACCCTAACGCAGAAGTTATACTTGCGTCAGAGTGACCAATTCGTGCCTGAAAGTGTAGAAATTGGGTCGGTCGATTTGAGTTTTAAAATTCGAAATAGTGCTGACGTGGAGCACGAGTGGTCGACCGATTTGACAAAATTGAAAACCGTCTGGTTTAGTGATTTTTCCCGAGTACTCGCTCAAACGAAGTGTAACCATTTTGCCATTTTGTGTTTTTGCAGACATCCCTTTTTTTTTTTCCATTCGGACGGTCCTAATAACGAGGATAGGACCGTCCAAATCCACGGTTCGGCACTTTGATACCGTCCGAAGTGGATAGTGACACTTTTTCGAGTCTCTTCCAAATCCGCGATTACTCTAGCATCGCGAGACGATTTGTATCGTCAGTAACCTAGGGCATGGTTTTCGTTATTTTCGCAAAAACCTACTTCGTCAGCAATGACGACGCGACACGAAATTTGTAATTGTTATACATTTCGTCTTCCAATCACATGCAAGAACGTTCGGACGGTCTGAATGTGTTTCAGACTGTCCCTTTCTGACATTTCGAACCGTTGAAATGGGGAAAAATTGTCACTACCGTCCGAGTTTTTGGCGACGTCATAAAGGTTCAGACGAACACCATAATTCAAAATGCGACGTTGGTAACATTTCGTTGGGCCGGACGGTCCACGTTTTGGACCGTCTGGCCCAAAAAAAGGCAAAATGGTTACATGCCCTTATACGCGAAACATGCCAACAGTTATTCGGTGTGTGCGAGCTAGCTAGTGCTAGGCTGGCATCGAGGTCCGGGCTAGTCCCGAAGCATAGGCCGACTCAGCCGGGCAAGCGGCGCATGGTTTGGTGAAACAGTGCGCGCGAAGTTGGCGAAGCCCCGTTAGCAGTAACGGGCGAACAACCGTTGCGGGTGTATGCGATGTTGACGGTCGCAGTAAGAAATGGCAAGAAAATTCCATGCACTACCCCCCCCCTCAAGAAGCCCCCTCCGCTACGCGAGTGCGTGTATATCGCGGAATCCCCGGCTCCTCAGGTACACTTGCAGGGCAGGGTGGTTTTCGATGTTGGCCAGGGGCACCCAGCTATCTTCAGTTGGTGTGGGGTCCTTCCAACGGATGAGGAACTCGATCCTCCTGATGCATGTGGGGTGACGAATCCGATGGCTCAGAATCTTCTCGGGCTCAACGATCGACTCCGATGCAGGGCGAGTCATGGATGGCGGGCGGTGACGAGGCAGTTGGCTTGTGGTTGAAATGTACGGGCGAAGCAGGCTGACGTGGAATGATGGGCTGCTGTACCAGTCTGTCGGCAACAGTAGATGGGCGGTAACTGGCGTGATCATGTGGCTGATTTGGAATGGGCCACAGTAGCGGGTCGGAGTTTAGGTATGTCGGAAGTTGTATGTTCTGCGTGTCGAGCAGTACGTAATCTCCTGACTGGTATGTGACTGGGCGACGGTGGCGGTTAGCGTTGCGTTTAGCGATGACGTTGGCTTTTTTTAATGCTTCTGCGGCTCTGGATCGGGCAGCTTGCAGAATCTGGGCGAACTGTTGTGCGCGTGGCGTGGGATTGTCCGGGCTCAGCGTCATGGGCACTGTTGGGTTTTGCCCGTAGTTCAGGTAGAACGGGGACTGCTGCGTCGTCGCTGACATGGCATTGTTTTAGGCGAACTCGATCAGCGGCAACTGCTGCTCCCATGTTGTAGGGTCGTCGCACGTGGCACGGATCAGCTGCTCCATCGTTTGATTCGTTTGCTCCGTTTGACCGTCGGTCCCGGGGTGGTATGTCGAGCTGAACTGTAGCCTGGTCTCGAACTGCTCCTAGAGGTTCTTCCAAAAATTGCTGGTGGACTTCGTATCCCTCTCGCTGATTATCGCTGCTGGTATCCCGTGCAGTCGAACGACGGTTGCGATGAACAGACGAGCGGTTTCCTCGGCTGAGATTGACTTCTTGCACGCAGCGAACTGTGCCATCGTCGTCAACCTGTTGCACGCAGCGAATTGTGCCATCTTCGTTAACCTGTCAACGATGACTATAATTGCGTCGTTACTTCCAGGGCTCGAAGGTAACCCCGTGACGAAATCCATGGTAACCTGCTGCCAGGCGCGCTCGGGCGGTGGAATCGGCTGCAACTACCCTGCCTTTCATTTGCGCGAGCTCTTCGTTACCTGACATGTAGGGCATAACCCCACGTGGTGCTGTACGTCGGTCAACAGCTCCGGCCAGTAGTAATACCAACTGTAGTTCCTGTCGCGTTTTT